CTACTACCACCACTTTTAAATTCACTATTCTTTCAATCTACAACTTGACCAAACGTTTTTTTAAACTTAATTTTGTCTGAATCACTTCAAGTACAAGCTGAAGAAGAAATATATTCAAAAAGTTTATCTTTATCAAGATCTTTGAGAATGACTCAAATTTGGCCAGGTAAATCATTAGTCAAATAAATTGGATGAGTATAAGGTTTACCATTTCCATTATAACCAGTTTTGATAACTGATCCATAATGCTTAGTTGTCTCTGATATATCAGATCTGTAAATTCAATTTGCATATTCTTCATTACTCTTAATCATATTATCCAAAATTTTTCAATCACTTCCAGTATCTCGAAGATTATCTTTCAACTTAGGTACCAGATCATTAACAATTCTATTTCTTAAATCAGTCTGTTTTTTAACAATTTCAGCACTATATTTTTTCCTTAATCTCTCAATTTCTTTAGTTATTTCTTCTTCTTTTTTCAAAAGCTCTCCTAAGGCAATTGTTTTATCTTCAATTTTTTGATCAAATTCAGGATCAGATTCACTAAACAAAATATCTTCAAACTGACTAACAACCTTATCAACTGGTTTATTGTCATTTAGATTATTAACAACTTGATAAGGAATAGTTTCACCTTTTTGTTCTTTTAAGATAGCAGCCAATAAATTATGACTTTCTGAACTTAAACCCATATTTTCCTTTTTTATTTTTTCTCTGGCTTCTCTTCAATTGTTTAGTAACTGAGCAGTATCTTGAAGGAGTGTTTTAACCAAAGTGTCATTTGGTTTTAAAAGATTACTATCAAAGATAGTCTTTTCTTCAGGTTTAAGAGGACCACCATGATATTTTGAGTATTCTTTAGCTTCATCTATTGTATTGATATCATTTTTTTTGAATGTCATGTTTTAATCCTATATTATATTTTAGTATTAATATTATTAAAAGATTAAATATAAAGAATTTAATAGAACAAACAAAAACTAATTGTAAAGTAATAAAATTTGCGATTGACTGAAATATTTTTATTCATTATCAGTATAGATTGGTTGGGGGCAAGTTATGTCTTTGAATTCATCTCTAACAAATGGGCGAATATTATGATAAAGATATTCTTGTCTTTTATAATCTAAAGGAGGCGTAGTTAGAACCAGGATAGAAAAAGATTTAATCTCTTTGGTAATTTTGGGAATGCTTGCTTTTCTGATTTTCAATAAATTAAATTCAGTATACGAACCATTAGCAACCAGCTGAGCATTGACAATACCAGGTTTGGCTGCTTCGAATACAAAATGCTGATATTTTTGTAAACCAATTAATTTTTTAAAGAAAATTCCTAACACGGAATTAAGATCAAGGTATTGAAAGCCTTTGCCAGTGCCATAACGCTGAGCTTTGTTTAATCCCGCTATGCTCGATCTTTTCACAATCTCAACAATATGATCTACGCAATCTACCGTTGTCTTTCTATAGAGTTTTTTGATTAATCCAAAACTACCATCACACTTGAATTTAGTATGTCCCGGCACCATAAAATTCAATTCGACACTTTCATAATAACCGCAAATAACTAAATACAGATAAAATCAAATGGTAGCATTATTTTTATTCTGACCTCCCGCATTATCACAAGTAATCTTTAAGTACTTTTCACCTTTATTCAATTTCTTAATTCCATCGAATACCAGGCTTAGCGTGCCATTAGGGCCTTTGCCAATAATTTCGTCTTCATCGAGAACATAATTAATTTGTTCGCGTACTGCTTCATCTTGAATACCAAATAAATGCACTTTACGCGGACTGAGATAATAAATTTTACTTACTTGTTGATCGGAATGAGGTACGTGAACATTTTGCGCTCAATCGTTAACTGTAATGAGCCGTCGCGTCAACGCTACAATAATTAACTTTACCTCCCGTTGCCGCGTAATTATCATCTATCAATTTTCTCTGTTGTTCTGCTAATTTCGTATTTTTGTTGTAATAGTTTCTCTCTAACTTAGCTTTAACTAAATGTTCTTTGAATTTTTTTAGTAAGTCTCTTGCTTCTTCTTCCTTGCGAGCATTGTATTGTAAGCC